AATAGAACTGCTGTTTTCTGATGTCATGTGGTTTGCAATTGTACACTTCACAACTAAAGAGATTTGTGCTGAGAATTTCGTTGGAGTTCTCGCCATCAAAAAATTCAACTTGAACAGAATATTGACCTGATCTACCTAACCTGGGTTTCTGTCAACTTTATAATGACCTTGAGTAAATTCCTCTTATGCTGTTAATTCTGTTGCAGATCCCTCTCCAAGTCTTGAAGCGTGTGCTGGTTAAAATTGGATGAAATGCTGAAGAAGAGTCACACTAGACTCAGTGTTAACCTGTTTCTGTACCTAAAGATGCTGCCTGATCTGTTGAGTTTCTCCAGCATGTGTTTGCGAGTTAGATGATTTGGTGCATGGAGAGCCATGGGGATCTAAATCCTGACATGAGCCAGTTTGGCTGAAAGGTTTGATCCTGGTTTTAAAAAAATTCAAGTAACCCAAAACTCATTTAGGTTTCGGTCAAACATAATTGATAAGCGGTGTCCCAGGATCCCCAGCATACAATGTAGTCTATAGATTGCATCTTCAGCTATTTTTATTTGCTCTCAACCAGGTGCCTCTCAACCAGGGTATCTGTATTAGTAGCAATTCTAACCTCTGTAATAAACACAGGTTCCAAGGATTTTTTTTATGATTTCACTTGTTTCACAAAGCACAGAAGCTGGACTATCATCATAGTGATTATTGCTAGAAAAAAAGTGTTAAGTGTCAGTGTTAAGTGTTGTCTGAAATGAAACAGGGTGTCCCTCGAGTGTACACAAAACTCTGGAACTGCATGAGGTACTGTTGATCGTCTACGCCCACAATTTCTGGCTCTCTGAAACTGCTGTGCTTCTGCTTTGTTCTTTTGGATGGATTGGATTGTCTGTTCCAGCGCTGGCATTTGTCAGCTTTATTGAAACTGAGCATTCTTCATTGATTCTATCAAATAGTCTTCTCTAAATTAGTTACAACACTAGTTGGATGCTTGATAACGTTTCAGTTGACAGGATTAAATGCAGCATTGCAGTTCCCATTCTTGCTATCCTAATGACCTTGTCTGCATTTGTGCAAAGTTTTGCACTGGCTTTCACCCAAGAACTGAATTTTTGTTTACATGCTTTATTTGGGATCCTCTGTCAGAGATAGCTCTGACCCTACTTAATTGGTGGTTGTTACAGCAAGGCTTTTGCAGTAATAAGGCTTCCTAATACTCGAATGTCTGATCATTAATTGGATACCAAGAAAGTGAACTTTTTCAGTGTCACTTGCAACATTCATGCTAGACTCCTACATTCTGGGATCCTGGAAATACCTAATAAAAACCGAAAGAACTGCAAATGCTGTAAATCGGGAACAAAAACAGAAGTTGCTGGCAAAGCTCAGCAGGTCTGGCAGCAGTTAACACTTCAGGTCTGGAGACCCTTCCTCAGACCTGCTGAGCTTTGCCAGCAACTTCTGTTTTTGTTCATGAAAATACCTGTTCCCCAAACTGCCTTTTACGGAAAATGTGTTCAAAAGACTGAGCCTTGTAGTGAAGCGGTGCAGAAGCATTTAAGGAATGGGAATGGAGCAAATGCCATTGGTCTGAGTGCATTTGGAGGAATTCCCACATTTTGGTTTATAGTTTCAGTATTATAATGTAAACTGTATCAGACAGCTGGACTGTAGTGAGATGTAATTGAGGAAGCCAGCTTTCTTTTATAGCACATGTTCAATCTTCTCCTTATCAAGTTCAGGCTTTGGAAAATTTAAGTACTTTTCTCAGCCTGTACCTGACCCCAGGTAACAACTTTATGACAATCTCAAATCTGATTTGCTGAAGATCTGGTCTGCTGCAGCTTAGCAAGACAGATAATTCAGGCAGAAAACTTTTTATCTCGATCAGTGTTTGTGCTTGTTTTAGTTTTAATTCCATTGTGTTGTGCAGTGGTGGGTGAGTTCTCCATGCCATTTACTCCTCTCCTTTTGAACGGTTTGGTCAGGAAACGTGTCCTTGGGCTTTAGTTTAAGTTAGAAACCAGTTCATTTATTTTCTTCCAATTGAGGTTATGTTCAATGTCTTGCCTTGTCCCAACCTGACTCCTCATATTTTTTACCAGCCATTTATGACTAGGTCCCCTTGTAGCAATTGGACTGTTGTTACAGATTCTGCTTGCCCTGGAACATTCCTCAGACTTTCCCTAAAAACATCCACTTTCCTCACTTTCCCTATTTTTTTTCTTGCTGATTTGGTGTCTTGTTGAAGGCTGTTTATTAACCTCTTCCTGGACTCTTGGGAAAGGAAGAGAAAGTGTTTAGTGATGACACTCCAGCTGTTGTTTTAAGCAGCCTTGATGGCCTTTTCCTGTCCATTTGATATTGTATGTGTACTCTGTTCAGCACATTGTATGTACGTGCTCCTACAGGGGTGCAAATTTTCGGGTTCCCAAATGTACTGCAGACCGATTAGGGCAAATCGCGACATTTTGGTGCTATGAGGAAATGAATCTGACAATATAAATATAGTTTAACTGTTTTGGGTTTTCATTTTTGAGCCACTGACACTGCTGCCTGTATCCTGTGAACCTTAGTTAGAAAGCCCTAGGCTTAAATGTTGGACTTGACCTAGGACATTCATTTTTACCATGTTGTTTCTCTTCCCCCGCCCCTGCCACCGACACCCTCCAGGAGAGTGATGCTCAGAGACCACATGGTATGTGTACCCCGTTCCTGATTTGTACTCAAAATTCACTTTTGCTCTTGTCCTGTTGGAGTCTGCTTCCGAAAATGGAGCATAATGCCAAAATCAAACATGACTAAGAGGTTGATCTCAGTAATGAGAACATTGAAGAATTTCAACTAAATTGGCAGTTAATTTTTTTTTCAGTTTGTCCTATGCATGCATGAGAATGAGAACCTTGTTCTGTATGCTTCTGTCATGAAAAAAAAATCTAATTTGAACATAAAGTTGCTAAGTACAGGAAGTGCCTAATCATCATCTGCTCATACAACCCATATTTTCCTGGATCTCTAATGCCATTGGGTCTGGAGGTCAGCAGTTTTACATTTGTCAGTGTTGCCAACAGTGAGAGAATAGTTTGTCATGGACAGTAGTCATGCTAAGGTATCTCCAGATTCAAATTACACTGCTCCCTTTGGGAGCTGAAAGCCTTTATGATGACAAATTAAACAGACTGTATTAGGCAAACACTACTGCTACTTGAATCATTTCTATTTATCTCCCTGATGCCTATATACTTCTGCAGTTCAACTCAGTCAAAAGCCTTCTCTTCCCCTCCCCCACTCTTCTCCATACAGCTGGCTTTTCTATTCCTGTTTGAATAAAGAATTATAAATGAAAGACATTTTCAACGTGTGTTACAAGACCATTGTAAATGAAAGAAACTCTTAGTTTAAAATTTTAGTTTACATTGTGTGGTGTTGCATCTATTAGAAAAGCAAATATTCAGTGTTAAATTCTTTTGTACAATAGAGACCTATTATTCCATTATAGGATTGCAAACAGATGGGAAGAATTGCTGCAATATGCTGTTGTCATACCCCCAGCACCTACCCAAGCTTTGCTCATCATTTATCTTTAACAAAGTGCTTAACGAAAGCCAAAAAAAAATCTCTAAGTTACTCAGTAGTGAGCAAATGATTGATTTGGGGCATTAGTTGAAGGCAGGCTCAACTATCTGGCAATAACCATTTCCAACAAGAGAATGTAACTATTTCACTGAAGTATTACTGTCACTGACTCCCCAGTGTCAAAACCTTGGGTTCACCATTAACCAGAAACTCAATTGAATCAGCCACAAAAGTATTGAGGCCGTAGGAGGAACTCAGAGTCTGGAACTCTATGCCTGAATTCTGCTGAGTTACCGAAGCCTGTGTCCCCATCTATGAATCACAAGCTTAGAAATATAATTGAATACCCTTTATTTGTCTGGATAAGTACACCTCCAAAAACACTCAAAGCTCAACACCATCCACGATACATCTGCCTGCTTGATCTGTGTTCTATCCAGCATGTTAATTTATTTGTTCTCACTGGCTCAATGACTGCAGTGTATGCAAGACGTATTGCAACAATTTGAGAGCACCCTCTACCACCTAGAGAAAAGGCAGCAGGTACGTGAGAGCATCACCACCTGCAAATTCCCCTTGAGCCGCACACCATCCTGACTTGGCATTTATGTGGCTGTTCCATCACACTTGTTGCATGGTGGTGAGGACACAGACTGCTGTGGTTCAGGAAGGCAGCTCACCATTCTTCAAGAGCAATTGAGGATCAGCAGTGTTCACTTATGAAGAATGAAAGAAGCCAGGCTTCGAGCAGAGAACAGTAGTAATAGAAGGTTGTAGGGAGACCATACTGCAACTCCAGATTAGAGCTAAGAAATGGCCAGGCTAATTTGGAACATGAAGGGATTTTGATTTGACAATGATAAAATTTGTGTGGTTTTTGTTTTAGTTGAGTTGCAGTTTCTGAAGGCCAAACCCATTAAGCTGTATGCAGGTATGTCAAGACCATACAGATATTTTAACTTGTGCCTAAACCAGCAATTGCAGGATTGGTGTTCCCAACATAACCCTTAAATTCTGCAGTAAATGGGTCTCTACCAGTTTCCTGCAGTACTTAAGTGAATTGGCATTGCAACTTGGCCCCCTTTTTAAGTAGTTAAGTTGCTAAATGTTTTTTGGTTCGAGAGAGGTTGAAACCTCATTCAGTTTTGATCAATCAATCCACCTACTTGTTGGTGCTTTACCCTTGACTCTTCATCTGAAATATATTAAATCATTTGGCTCTTGAATCCATTGTTCTTATCTTTCCACATTGCTCTTCCCTAGTAACTTGTCCCTCGCAGGAGGAACCCTTACCATCCAAGCTTTTTCTTGGCACCCCTAAATGCTAATGTATTGCTTCGTGAATTGGAAGTTTTTAAAGTACAAGTCTTTGTCCTGCATATATGATAGCATTTTAAGTAGAAAACAATAACTTGTATTTTCTGTTCTCATTGCAGAATGACTGTGATCGCCATCTGGCTAAATTATCGAAAGCAACTCTTGTTTAAATGTGTTGAAACACACAAGGTGTATATTTGGAATTGAGCTTCGTCCCACGACGTTATCCCTACTCTGGGTGTTCCACATTTTAAATTGTTTAAAATGCTGCAAAAAATTAAGCATACAGGCAACGTGGAATTATAAAAAGAGACTTCAGATCCAGTTTTAGTGCAGAGCTGCTTGTTAATTAAGTTACCTGTGTTTTTAATCGTGCATGAGCAGCTCCCAGCAGTGAAAGAAATGACTGGGGCCTTTTTGTTCCTCCCAGTGAGCCACTGTGTTAATAGACTATGACAAGCTATCGACCTGTTCAAAATGAAAAGGTGGAGGTTGGTGGAATGGTCATAAGTGGAGTGGACTTTCTTGAAGGTACGAACACATGTGATTACTATGCATCTCCATTCAGGGTCCAGAATGGGAACATTTGCTCTCTGGGTGACAACGTACCCCGTGCAAATTCAACTCCTGCCATGCCAAAAATGGGAGTCCGAGCTCGAATTGCTGACTGGCCCCCGAAGCGAGATGTAACGAAAGATGCTGCGAGGGACTTGGGTGGATCAATGGTGGACACTGAATTTGCACGTTTTCATAGCGGGCAGTATTGCCTCAACTATGACAATGCTTCCCATCGCCCTCAGGCCCGAGGCCTGCACCACACACCTCAAGGGAAGTCAAAAGAAGCAGAGTTCCAAGGTCACTGGCCCAGGTCTCCAGCCAAAATGTTTGCTCCGTTGAGAGTTCGAAGTAACAGTGAAGTTACACTCAATGAACATGATGCAGAAGGAGCCCTAGACCTTAAAGGGAGTGGAATGCTACCCTTAAGGGAATATGGTAGCACTTCATCCATAGATGTTAATGGAGTGTCATCTGAAAGCTTTTTTGATATGTTGAAGGAGTTCAAAAATGAGAAGATTGATCAACGGAGTTCAGTACCCGAGAACCTCAAGAAGCTCCTTCGAGCTGATGTCAGCATGGCCTCCAATCTGAATCTGGCAGGTAACAGCAAGACTGATGACAGTCAAAGTGAATCATCTCAGAGAGATGAACTGTCAAGCACGTGCAAGGATCGAGAGAAATCACGTAAAAAGCCGTCTCGGAATGAAAGTGGTGAATCAATCTTGAAGAAACTGCGCAGCAACAAAAGTGAGCATGAATCTGGGAGATCCAGCTCAGACAATGAAGACAATAAATCCCAAGATAGCATCAAGCCATGGGTTTGTCCGAAGAGCTTTGCACATTTTGACGTGCAGAGTATACTATTTGATCTCAATGAAGTGGTGAGCAACAGGAACTATGTACCTTACCGGAGAAACACCACAACTGGTGCCTCAGCTGCATCAGCTGCTTCACTTGCTGTGTCTCGTTCTCATGCTCTGGGAGGTCCGGATTCAAACTTCACTAGCACTGAGGAGGTGAACGGCAAAGAGAATCTGGAGCCAGATCTTGGTGACAGCAATTGCAACGATCTGCTCCTAAACTGTCCTCATTTCCGCAATGAAACGGGTGGGATTTGTGAACACAATATAAGCTTATCAAAGGCTAGTATGACTGCAGATTGTGAAGGTGGATTTCCGAAGGTGGTTTGGAACCCATACTGCACAAATGCGAGTGTTTCTGAACTAGAGGTCCCAAAAGAGAGGCAACTCCGTCAGGAAAGACTGAAGCAATTCAGCATCGAGCACATGGATCGGGGAGCCAAATACTATCAGGATTATTTCCATGGGAAAGGTACAGTAATCAGTGGTCCTGTTTTTAATTCTTACTAATCTTGAATCTTGCCATGTATATTGTTGGAGTGCCTTGCATTCAGAGATGTCCTCTATTTTCTCATGTCAAATTGTCATAAAAGGTGGAGGTTGAATCTACAATCCTGTCGTAATGCTTGCCACTTACCATTTTAATTTTTGTGGAAACGAGAGAATTAATAATTAGAGATCCATTTGAGATCAGATTTGTAACCATCTATATGCTCCCTACTCGGAAGTTTAAAACCATTCTGTCCAGATCTTGACAGTGTCCAAAGGACACTGTTTACTCATTTTGAGAACTATGATAACATTTCATCCATTATGCATTCATGGGATGTCATCTGAGGCTTTTTATTTTTTGAATGCTGGTCACTCAACTTGAACCAGTCATATGACTTTGCTTTTATTCTTTCCAGAGCCTTGCTAGCTGATAAGCACACTCTCTCTATTTCCCTTATCACAGTGTCTTCATCAATTCTGGGAATAATATTCTAATGCAATTTTTAGCAGTATCCCTGCCGCCACAAGCCCCAATTAGTCAAACTTGATAGCCCAAAGAAATCCTCTCCCATATAGAGTCCCACACACTGATTGCACCTGTCCTCTGCCAATTCTTTTACATCCTTCACTTTGCCATCCTCACAATAAACATTAATAGCACAACAGAAGTCCATTTGCCCTGTCATGTCTATGTTTGTCAGAAATGGGCTAATGAACCTAATCTCATTTTTCACCACCTGCCCTCTAGCTTAAAGCACCTCAGTTACTTGTTAAATGAGTGTTTCAGCCTCTGCTACCCAATCGGTTGCACGTGAACTTGAAACGGTTTGTTTGATTTGAAAGATTGATTACAGTCATTAAATGACATGATTGCAACCTGGAGGTCTGTCTTATTTAGGATTCTGCAAATTTTTGATGCCCAATAGACCTGATGATTTTATAATTAAGTTAGAACATTTTGTAAACAAATGTTGGGGGTGCAAATTGCCCATCTACATTTTACTTTTTGATCTGTGGAGGTTCTTCAACACAGAAATTAAGTAAATTTTTAAAATTGACTTGCTCCTCCTCGTGCTTTCTTGTAGTTTCCTCACTGTATTAGGGGGGTAGACACCGGAAGGATTAGCAGGATTACCATGTCATAAAATGTGCTCCCATACACTAGTTTTAAAGTTTGCAGCAAGCTAAAATATAATTGGTGTTCTAGTAATGACCAATATCTCAACAGAGGTGTTTGTCCTGCATTGTAAAGGATCCAAAATCCCAACCCCTCCCTACTCTATGCCCTCATGTTGGCTATCAATTTGTTTCTCTTTTCCATGCTGATTGCAATATCTGAATATTCTTGCTGTAATAAATACAGCTGCACGCAGTGGTTCAGCTTTGTGCAAATTACTGCATCCTGCCATTTTTATTCTTCTCTCCCAGTGCGATGAACCAAGTATTCCAGTCCATTACTGCTATGCTACATTGGATTTCATTGAGCTCACTGGCAGTAACCTTTTCTCCTGTACCCTAAAGTCATGATTGCTGTTTTATTCCCACCTTCCTTTTCCTGACTTCTGCTACACTTTGGTCCACGTTAAATGTCTATCAATTCAGCTTGAGCTACAATGGTTAAACCGCATTTAAGCCTTTGTAAATTGCTGTTTTGTAGCACAAGCTGTTTGTTATGTGAGCACCAATGTTTTACGTACCCTTTCAAAGTGACATAAAGTGCAGGACCAAACTGGCAAGAGGAAAGAAAGTTCCGCAAGGAATTGCGAATAAAAGCCCTTAGAGTTTGTAATGTGTCATGTTTCATTGTGACTGACACAATTATGATCCACGAAAGAGCTTTTGATGCAGCTCCCAGAGAGTAATGTCATTGTCACCCTGCGGAGCAGGATAGCTCTCGTTTCATTCGAGGTCTGAAGAAACTGTTGGAATTCTGTACCTGTAAGTGAGGAAAATGAAAGATTTACCCAAGTTCCCTGCACTTGATTTTTTATTTGTGTGGGTCTGTAAACATAAATCAGATGAGAGAAGGAAAGGGGATTGGTGTTATTGTCCTTCATGGGACAAAGTGTTATGCACCTTTTGGGGAGGTGATGGCCTGGTGGTATGATCGCTAGACTATTAATCCAGAAACTCCGTGAATGTTCTGGGGCCTGGGGTTCGACTCACGCCATGGCAGATGGTGGAATTTGAATTCAATAATGTAATCTGGAATTAATAATTTACTGATCACCAGTCGTGATTACTTGTTGGAAAAGTTCATATGATTCATTAATGTCCTTCAGGGAAAGAAATCTACCGTCCTCTCCTGGTCTGGCCTACACGTGACTCCAGACCTACAGCAATGGGGTTGACTCTGTTGCCCTCTGAAATAGTGTAGCCAGCCATTTAGTTGTACCAGTCGTTACAAAGTCTCAAAGAAATGAAACCAGACGGATTGACCTAGATACTGCAAAAGACAATGGCAGAAATAGCCCTGTCGACCCTGCAAAGTCCTCCTTGCCAACATCTGGGGGAAAGTGCCAATATTTGGATGAAATTTGTGCTCCAGAACTTGCTGCTCCCCTACACAGCTCTTCCAGTGCAGTGACAGTGCTGGCATCTATCTGACAATGTGGAAGATTGTCCACGTATGTCCTGTACCCAGAAAGCAGGACAAATCCAATCCAACCCAACCAATTGCTGCCCAATCAGTCTACTCAAAGAGATCGAGGTGTCATCTATAGTGTTATCGAGCAACACCTGCTCAGCAATAACCGACTGATGCCCAGTTTAGGTTCTGCCATGGCCACTCAACTCCTGTCCTCATTACAGCCTTGGTTTAAACATGGATAAAAGAGCTGAATTCCAGAAATGAGATGAGAGTGACAGCCTTTGTCAAGGCTGCATTTGACGAAGTGTGGCATCATGGAGCCCTAGCATAGTTGGAATCGATGGGTATTAGGGTGCAAACTCTGTGCTGGTTGGAGTCGTCCTTGGCACATAGTATAGTCATGGTTGTTGGAGTTCAGTCATGTCAGCTCCGTGATATCTCTGCAGGAGTTCCTCGGGGTATTGCCCTAGGCCCAACCATCTTCAGTTGCTTCATCAATGACCATCCCTCAACCGTAAAGTCAGAAATGGAGGTGTTCACTGCACAATGTTCAGTAGCATTTGTGACTCATGTATACTGCGGTAGTCTGTGTTCAAATGCAACAAGGTCTGGACAATATCCAGGCTTCAGCTGACATCTGGCAAATAACATTTGTGCCACAAATGCCGGACTCTGACCATCACCAATAAGAGACGATGTAACCACAGCCCTTTGACGTTTATTGGGGGTTCAGTGATGGTAACATGATTATCAACGTCCTGGGTGTCACCATTGACCAGAAATACAACACAGCTGGACTTGCCACATCCAGTGGCTACAAGAGCAAGTCAAAGGCTAGGAATACTGTGGCAAGTAACTCCCCTCCAGACTCCCCAAGGTCTGTCCACCATCTGAAAGGCACAAGTCAGGAATGTGACAGAATATTCCACACTTGGCTGGATAGGTGCAGCTCCAACAACACTCAAGCTTGCTTGATACTGTCCAGAACAAAGCTGCCTGCATGATTGGCACCACATCTGCAAGCATCCATTGAATCATAGAATCCCAACAGTGTGGAAACAGGCCATTTGGGCCATCGAGTCCACACCGACCCCCTGAAGAGCATCCCACCCAGACCCGCTCCTACCCTATCCCTGTATTCTCCATGGCTAACCCACCTAGCCTGCTCATCCCTGGATGTTATGGGCAATTTCCCATGGCCGATCCACCTAACCTGCACATCTTTGGACTGTGGAAGGAAACCAGCGCACCCAGAGGACACCCGTGCAGGCATGGGGCGGATGTGCAAACTGCATACAGACAGTTGCCCAAGGCTGGAATCGAACCTGGGTCCCTGGTGCTGTGAAGCAGCAGTGCTAACCGCAGAGCCATTCCATCCACCACCACCGCTCAGTAGCAGCGGTGTATAATATCAACAAGATGCACTGCAGGGTGACGATTCTGGAATTCTTTCCCTAATGGCATTTTAGGTCAACCCACAGCATGCGGACTGCAGTGGTTCAAGAAGGCAGCTTTCACCACCTTGTCAAGGGCAACTAGGAATGGGTAATAAATGTTGGCCAGTCCATGTCCGCAAATGAAAATTTTAAAAAAGTGAATATCTGCAATGTTCAGACTCGTGCATGAAGAATGACCACCTCAGCAGGTGGCAGCGTACTGGTAGAGGGACCAGCTGGTTTAATACTTTGAAGCAGCGTTCTTACCCTGAAAAGATGGGAAAAGAGTATAAGTTTTAATGAAGACATTTAGGGTTCTTGTAACTTGAATGTTTGAAGTCATTTGAGCTTAACAAATGTCTATTCCAAGTTTTAAAAAGTTGCTAGTAACCTGTGATTTCCCCCAAAACCAGCTAAGTTGGAAATATTTTACTGCAGTCCGCATGCTGTGGGTTGACTCAAAGTATTTTACCACCGTCACATCTTAAGAATAGTTTTAAAAAGAAGTAACATCAAAAAACTAGTTGTTACCTCCATTCCATTTTCACAAAGTAATGAACTATTCGAACTCCTGCTCACTCATCGCAATTAATATTTTAAAATGGCCTAGCCCAGTCATTTACTTCACTTCTGACTCTTTCACTCCTAGAACACTGGAATTATTTTGGAGTGGATGAAAAGCTGGGCCCAGTGGCAGTGAGCATCAAGAGGGAAAAGCTGGAGGACAGCAAAGAACATGGACTTCAATATGTCTACCGAATAATCTTCAGGACAAGTGAGGTGAGTATTTGATGAAATCCTAACATTTGACTGTTAGGCATTAAGAAGCCTTGGCAAACCTGGAGTCAATGGGAATAGGGGAGAACTCACTGCTGGTTGGAGTCATACGAAAGGAAAATGTGATTGTTGGATTGATCTTGATCCCCACGCATCTCTGCAGGAGCTTCCTCAGTATAGTATTCTAAGCCCAACCATCTTTAGCTGTCACACCAATGAGCTTCTGTCTTTGTAAGATCAGCAGCTGATGATTCTACAAATATTCAGCATTTGTAACTCCTCAGAGCAGTATCTGTCCATATACAGCATGATTTGAACAATACCCAGGCTTGGGCTGATAAGTTAAATAATGTTTGCCTGGCAGTTGTGTGACAATGACCATCATCACTTGATGTCAAATCACGTCCCCCCCGACCCACCACCACCAATACCCCACAAACTGTAATTCACCAGCACCTTCTTGACAAAGGAGTGATGAGATACTTTGGGAAATGCTGTTTTTAAAAAAAAACCCTCATCGGGTGCAACATTCCACCTTGTACCTGGAACACACTGCAGCTGTATTTTTGTACCAGTGATGGAAGAAGTGAATGTTCAGAACAGGGTACCAATTCAGAAGAACACTTTGTGCTGGACTATGCGAAGTTTTGACTGTTTTGTTGTAGACAGTGGGTAGATGTTCAATAGTGATATGTAAAGCAAAACACGTCCATCAGTAAAACTTATTCTACTTGAATTAATGTGGTTTTGTTGAAAGATCAAAACAAGCCATTCATGCCAAAGCTCGTTACAGACCACTATATAAATTGTTGTTGCTGGCCAATACAGGAGAGTTCAAGTTCAGTGCTTATGGCTGTTCAGTCACACCTCCTCTTTAGTTGTGGTGCCTCTGACAGTATCACGGTTTTTATTTGTCATCAGGTTGTCTGTGACAGCAGGCTTGTCCTTAAAGGCAGCCCTGTAGAGTGAAGTGTTTATGAACACTGCTTTTAAAAGATTGGCACTTTTTTTAAAATCTTGGCTGAACTGCATGAAAGTACGAAAATTTAATTTTGCAGCTCATTACATTAAGAGGAGCAATCCTGGAGGATGCAGTTCCATCAACGTCAAAACATGGTACAGTGCGAGGGCTCCTGCTGAAAGAGGTATTAGAATCTGTAATACCAGAACTGAACATTCAGTGTCTGCGGCTGGCATTCAGCACTGTAAAAGTCACAGAACAACTGCTGAAACTGGATGAACAAGGGGTGAGTTGAAATCTCGTTGGGATGTTGATATCCTTGTGTAGATAGTAGTGCCACAACGGGACCAATTCATTATGTGGAATAGGCATCTCTAACTGCAACCTTACGGGCACCTTCTTTCCTTCACCAGTTAACAGCAGGCATTCGTCAACAATGTGCAACTTAGCAGGGAGTTCATTAAGTGCCTACAAATCAAATTGTGGAGTTTGAAATTGAGGGGGTAATGTTTCTACATGTCTAATCCTCATTTGTCTTCTGAAAGCCCTTGTGTGGCTGGTGGTGATGTATGACTGTGACAGCTGAACCACGAAGAGTGATGAGGCTGGGATAAGAGTGTTTGAAATGAAAGGATTCACAGATATTATGCATATCATGGGCTGCCAAGCGGAAAAACAAGTGGGTCCTTGAGAAGTCTGCTGTTAATAGGAACATTTTTTTGAGAAAGTAAAATCGGAAAGCTCACATACTTTGGGCATGTTGCATACAAGAAGAGAATGTTTGAATACAGAGGTTACACAAAGCAGAGCATCTGGAAAAGGTGCACAAGGAGGACCCAAGATGACAGATGAGCAATATCAAAGCGTAGACTGGCTTCTTCATGGGACGAGCAGTGAAGGCAGAGGAGAATCGAACTAGGTGGAAGGAAGTTGTTTGTAGAATTGCCAAATCTCTGAAAGAGAATGGATGAAAAACAAGATATCCTCCTGCTTGGAGTGAGTGGTTGCTTTGTAAAAAAAAAAAAAGGATTCCCTGTGTTTCCTGGCTTCTGTTATTAGTTCAATCTGAGTGAGTGGCTCAGTAGTGGGAAGTTAATTCTGGTCAGCATCCTTCCATTTTGGTAAATTGATAGACACGCAGCAAACCAAACCTTTGGGACTGAGGTAGCTTCAAATGGCACACTTTTTTGTTGATAGCAGGCAGAACCTGCCTCTCAGACTGTGCAACACATGGTATGGTTATTGAGGTGTCATTTGACAGTATTCAATGTTATTGGCACCTCATGCCAAGCCACTGCTTGTCATAGTGGCATACACTGGCCAAGATGTGATATCCCAGTTTTCTCTATCAGCTTTCTGTTCTGTTAAGTTCCTGATATTGGCAGCATCACTCCACTGAAAGGAATTCCAACTTGCGTGTTTGTTTGGCTCATGCGTAAGGCTGAAAATGCAGAGCTCATTCATGTCCTCAGTTACGGATGGTATATGGGGATTGTGCAGATCAGCAGGTGACGAAGGTGATTAATTGGCTTATGGGAGGACTTGGAAAACATAGAAATTGGAAACTGTTTTTTATGTTTGATGGTGATTGTCATGCTTTGATGCGTCTGCAGCTAAGCAGAAAACATAAAGTCGGTATCCTGTACTGTTTGGCCGGCCAGGGCACTGAGGAAGAGATGTACAACAATGAAGAAGCAGGCCCTGCATTTGAGGAATTCCTGGAGCAGCTTGGAGAAAAAGTACTTCTTAAGGGCTTTACAAAATATGCAGCTCAACTGGACACGAAAAGTAAGTCTTTCTTTTTCTTTTTAATTGTTACAAACTCTCAATCAGTGTCTGAAACTTGTAGAGTTAAAATTTGTATATTACAAGAAGTACTGCAAATGATGGAAACGGAAATCAAGTCCACCAGTGCTAGGAATGTCCAGGTGCTTCACCCTTTTATCAATAAATTAGAGCAGAACTGGGTTATACAGTGAACAGTTTTGGTTCCCTTCTCTGAGAGGAAATTGGCATTGGAGGCAGTGCACAGCAGGTTCACTAGATTGATCCCAGGCATGGAGGGATTTTCTTGAGAGGATGAGTAGGTTGAACCTGTGCTAATTGGAGTTCAGAATAATGACCTTTATTGAAACTTAAGATTCTTGGGGGACTTGACCAGATAGATGTAGAGTGGTTGTTTCCCCTTGTGGCAGAGTGTCGGACCAGAGGGCAGATTCTGAGTAAAAGCCACCCATTTAAGATAGATGAGGAAGAACTCCTCCTCTGAAGGTTGTGAATCTGTAGAATTCTTGACTGCAGAGGGCTGTCAAGACCGGGTCACTTTAAGTCAGTTTAAGGTGGAGATAGACAAGATTTTTTTAATCGATAAGGAAGGAAAGTGGAGTTGAAAATAAAGAGATCAGCCCATGGTCTTATTGAATGGTGCAGCAGACCCATTGGACTGAATGATCTGCTTCTGCTTCAATGTCTTGTGGAAGCTGGGAGTTCAGCTTTTTTAAATATAACAATAAACAAAATGACATAGGGAGTAGAGGGTGACGTAAAGAAATTTTAAGACTTGAGGTTTTTCTTGTACGAAACGTAAGTGATTGATCTAGGGTGTGAGTGGGAATTTTAGTGGAAATCTGGAAGAGAGGAAAGATTATCTTAGCCAAGTATGGAAGAGGTACTGCCAAAACCCTTGGGACGTGACATTAGAGGGGCTCCGTTCTGGCAGAATTCTGTTGAAAGGTCCCATCCCAAAAGTCAGTCCACCTTTGCTCGTTTTACAGATGTTTGTATGTTTCAATCTTTGCCTGTTTTTAGTACTGGTGATATCGTGGTTTGCTGTTGACCCAGTATGAAATCTGATGTTAAAACATTTTTTTATTCATAGCTGGCTCGACTGGTACGCACTCTTTGTACACAACTTACCAGGACTATGAGATCATGTTCCATGTGTCCACCATGCTTCCATACACCCCCAACAATCGGCAGCAGGTGGGTAATGTCTGTAGGGCTGCCTTTGCTAAACCATGAGCTGTCGTTTATTTGTCCTCTTAGACTTTCCTGTAAGCCGTTAAACACCGGGGCTTTGGCTGAAAGTGTCTGAACAGTCCTTTTTCATCCAAGTTAAAATATGATCAATCAGATGGAATGATCTTCTGTCTCTAATTAGTTAAGGTTCTAAGTTTGAAGGATAACTTGCTAACGTTTTACCCCATCTTCAATTTTTCTCCTCCGTTTCTTTGAGATATTGACTCATGTGGAATAAAAGTAAATGGGTAGGAGGTGCCCATACCTTGAATGCACTACCCAGTGTCTGCTTCTCATGTATGCTGTTACATTTTAAGTCATGCTTTCAGACATTAACGCTATTTGGTTCAGGAAAAATGCAGGCATAGAATTTGGGCACGTTGGGTCAGAGGACCATTGAATGTAGAATTCCCCCCGCCACAGCTCTCCCATATTTAAACATAACAGATGTCTGATACTTTAAAATTGTCTGATAGTGTTACCAAAGGGAAATATTCCAATTCCCTCTAATTTCATCTCTCATAGATTGCTCTATCTACAAAATAGTCATACAGCACAGAAACAGTCTTCTATCCAACTAGGCCATGCTGACCAAGTTTCTCAAACTATAAAGTAGTCTCACTTGCCTACGTTTGGCCCATATTGCTCTAAACCTTTCCTATTCATATACCGGTCTAAAAGTCTTTTAAATTTTGTACCTGTACCTGCATCTACCACTTCTTCTGGCAGGTCATTCCATATATGAACCTTCCCTTGTGTGAAAAAGTTGCTCTCCGGGTGCTTTTTAAATTTTTCTCCTCTCAACTTAAAATTATGCCCTCTAGTTTTGACTCCCCTACTCTGGGGAAAAGACCTTTTGTTAATCACCTTATCTATTCCCCTTATGATTTTATAAACTACCAAAATGTCACCCCTCAACCTCCTACGCTCCAGTGAAAAAAGTCCCAGCATCTCCTTATAGCTCAAAACTTCCAGTCCCGGTAACATACAAGTCTTCTCTGCACCCGCTCTAATTAAATTATATCAACCAGAATGGTACTCCAAAATGGCTGAGTTTATGGCTGACTGTTTAAATTATTTTTGGTCAAGTTCTCTGCTTCTTCCATTATTCTGGTTCTCATTTACCTCTGCAGAGTTCATTGTGATTTTTCTGCTTCAGTAGCCATTGCACGGCATTGATCAAGTGTGCTGATTATTGCAGACTTGTTCTAACAAGTGTCCAGAAAAGTGTAATCTGAAATATAAAGGAACTACCTTACTTCCAACCAAGCATAATGCCAATGCTGGCAATAGATTTTGGAGGTTATTGTTTGTATCACAATGTGGGTACTGAATGATTTGGGCTGCTGATTTGTGATGTCTAAAATCTTTGAATATATGGTGCTATCCTGTATCTGTGTATATGGGAAATAAGTAACAGAAGATCAAGAGGTGGTTTCAACTTACAATTAAACTGTGTCCCTGAGTTATTGATGTCAAGTTAATCTTGAAATTGTTCAGTTGCTAAGTTGAGCTTTACTAATTTGAGCTTTGAACAACTCCGTGAACAACAATTTTTCCGTGTTAAAAATGAATAGCACTCTTCGCTTTGAGAGATTACATAGGTGGGAAGCTAGATTTTGTGATATGAGCCTGATGTATATTTTTATTCATGTGTATTTGGTTGCAAACTTAAATGAGAAAAGAACTATTTAAAAAACCCAGGATTGTTGAAGGATTTCAGTTTTTGAAAGTGAGGAACACTGTACTCATTGTAAGCACTATTTACACAGTAATTGGTTCAAACAGCAGTGGATGGTTTGCCCTGGGCTGCATACAAATGGACATTCAGCTGGCAACAAATAGCTGATTGGTTTGTAGATTAGTGACCACTTTTGTCACAAAGACCTTCTGCTTGCCAGCGTCTGTGATTTGGTTTCTAAGTAGCTGAACAGCTAGGAGCTGTAAATTTTATATGGGGAGAAGTCATTGCACCCCCACAGGCTCAGGAGCTGTCCATTTAAAAAAGATACTTCTACTATAAAAAAATACTTAAACTGGTTTTCTTCAAATTTAATTTTCCTCAGTTGCTGTAAGCTGTGAGTTTTAAGTAATAAGTCAGAGCCCCGTTGTATCAGTGTGAGCCAGTCATCTTGTGTCTCTTGCAAACAAGTGAAAGCATCCAGAGAAGGAAGATTGAGAATCAGCATTCTGATCAACACAAGAATCATCTCAGCAAATCCTATTCACAGGAACTGCTTCCCCGGTCTTCCCCCTATAAATAACTTTATTTTTCTCCCCCGTCTGCCTTTGTGTAGGAAAGAGTTTATAAGGGTGTTAGAGTTTTAGTTCACAGAATTCTATGTCATATGGCAATTCTTAATTATTTACCTAATAAATAGTAATTTGTGTTAAGAAACCTGATCCATGCTTTGTCAATCTAAGTTTTAAAAAAAAAAACAGGTAAATTGGGAAATTCTGCCTATTTTAAAATTCTTGACTGTAACTTTTGTGACAACTCCTCCATGAATAGCTGGGCTTGATTTTCTAGTGTGCAACTCCAGTGCAGTGTAACACTGACTTGGCCCAAAAATAGCCTGACAAAAAGTCACAACTTCATTTTTATTGGCCATCAAGAAGATTGATGTTACTATTTGTTTACCATAAACTCTTCAAACTGTTTTAAGCAGAATAGTATAAGTTGCCAATTATGCTCTCAATCCTGCTCAGTTTTATAAGCCACGCTTTATAGCAATTGATTTGCCTGTCCTTTATCTGTAATTGGAATTGATCCAGTCCTAATGTTAGGAAAAGCAATCTTTTCAATAATGTAATTAAAAGTCTATTTATGAGCATAGGGTCAAATTAATTGCTTAAATGGTATCGAAATAATACTCTTCAAGATAGCTCTGGGTTAAAGCTAGATGAACAGTAGTAGGCCTGATTTTAATGGCGTGCAAATAGGTGTATTTTGAATAAGTTTAAATTTGGGCCTAAAATGTATTTAACCATTTGAAGAAATCATTCGTTTTTTTTTTTTAGAATCCCTACAATGTGGAAAGAAACAATTCAGCTCAAGTCCACACGGACTATCTGAACAGCATCCCACTTAGACCCACGCCTCTACCCTATCCCTGTAACTCTGCATTTCCCATGGCTAATCCACCTGACATACACGTCCTGGACACTTATGGGCTACTTAGCATGGCCAATCCACGCTAGCCTGCACATCTTTGGACTGTGGGAGTAAACCGGAGCACCCGGAGGAAACCCACACAGACATGGGGGAGAATGTGCAAACTCCACACAGACAGTCACCTGGGGGTGGAATCGAACCCAGGTCCCTGGCGCTGTGAGGCAGCAGTGCTAACCACTGAGCCACCAGGTTCAAAAATATTTAAACTATGAAAGGTTTAAACAGTTTTTCTTTATACACTCTATTTTCAGTGGCTGGTAGCTCAATGACCAAAGAGCAAAAAGAATGAGAGGAGATAGGAGGAGAAAACCTTTTAGCATTGCAAATGGTTAGGATTTGGAATTCATAGCCTATTTGGTTGGTGGAAACAGAATGAAAAAGTTGAACAATATCTGAAAACATTGCAGCAATATGGAGCAAAAGCTGGGGAATGGGATTAACTGGATTACTCTTCAGGAGGGCCAGTGCAGATTCAATGAATTCAGTGGCCAAATCCTGTGCTTTATTATCCAATGATGTGTGCTTAAATCAATAGAGACGCTTAATTTTTTTTCATAATGAATACTAGTACTTCTAACCTGACATTCCTCGTCTTTTCCAAAGTGTAGGTCTTAGGGACTCATGCATCCTGATCGAGTAGAGTCTTCCCACAGAGTTGATGAGAGTTGAAAGATTGGGGAGGCTTGGGATTGTTGATGATACTGAAGCTGGGGCATCAGTTGAAAAATTAGAGTTGATGCCTGTGCTCCTAGATTAAGGATAGATTTGGCTGGGAGGTGCCTGATTGCTGGTGACCAGCATCTTAAGAGACACCACCTGGCTTTGTTTTGCATGGTCAGGCAACCAGTGAAGCCCCAAATAAATGGCCACTTGGACAGGATACAATGGATGACTACAAAATGAACATAGTCACTACAATCAAGGTGGGAGGGTTGAAAATTGGTGAAGAAATAATGAATCTTTTTTGCCAAAGAAGATTTGAGATGCCTTAAGTAAAAGTTGCCACTGTCCCAGAAGGCTGCTCACTCGCTCTCTCTTGTTGAAGAGAGATGACTGGTTGTGAGTTTAAACTGAGGGTCACCATGCTTCAGGCAAGGTTGAGTAATCTTTGTGGAAATTGAACCCATATTGTTGACGTCACTCTATGTTGCAAACTAGCCATCCAGCCAACTGATTAAACTGATCCCATGAATTAGGTAAAACATGAAGGAAGTCATTTACATTTGGTAAATGTTTGGATGTTCTTCTAAAAATGATTAGAACTTCTGCTGCATATACCTGAGATTTTACAGATGAGTAATGGTGCTAGTTTCTTTCTGACACTGAATTTGAATGATAAACTGTGCAGAGAATCTCTGCAAAGCGAACAGTTTGCAGCCAGAGGTTTGGTGAGTTGACTTAACATGTTTGTGTTCACAGCTCCTCAGGAAACGACACATTGGCAACGACATCGTTACCATCATTTTTCAGGAACCGGGGGCACTACCATTCACGCCAAAGACTGTACGCTCTCATTTTCAGCATGTGTTTGTCATTGTCAGGGTCCATAATCCATGCACTGAGAATGTGTGTTACAGGTGAGTGCTTATCCAGGGTAGAAAAAAAAATTACATTTGTCGGCCCCTTTCAAACCTCAGGATATCCGGTGCGGACACTGACCCTTTTTAAAGTGTAATCTCTATTATAATGTAGGCAATACCCAACCAATTTGGCCACAGTTCTCAAAATTAGCTTTTTGCTTGAATTATGTATGATGGCCAAGTCAACACACAAGCAGAACTCCCCCTACTGACATTTGAATTATTTCAACAGCAGCCTTAATGCCAATATGGGAAAGCAGTAGGGAGCTCTGTTTTAATGCTCACAAGGTGGCAAGGCGAATAATGCACCACTCCCTAAGAATTTAACTAGAGTGTTGCCCAAGATTGTGCTCACATCTCTGGAATGGGATTTCAACTCACAGCTTATGACTGAGGTGAGAATGCCACCCACTGAGCCACAAATGAGAACCTGTTAATGATCATATATCTCTCCACTTGACAGCAAAAGCTTCTAAATGAAGGGGCACATGATGGAATTACAAAGCAAGTCAGTACCATTTGAAAAAAGAAAAATGAAAAACTAATGAAATATTAATCTGCCTGATTGAGGTGTGGATAGATTTGCATATCTCCACAATTTTATTCCTTTCAGATAAAATTAACATTGAGTGTTTATTTAGAAAGGCACAGTACCACATTATGTAAGCTTACAAGTAATCCTCAAGTTCTTTTGAGAACCATGTTCAGGAATAGCATAAACCTAAAAATATCTGAAGGAGTGCAATGAGGAACCTGGACGACTCAAACCTTGCAGCACAGAAGGGGATTGTGTCTCTGCTGACTTTTTGAAAGATCCGTGATGTTTAGCCCCACACTTCGGTTTTTTTGCCACAGCACAGTTGAATCTTTTCCTTAATTATCTGACCAACTTGTTTTTTTAAGTAGTACTGTTCTTTTTCATATTCTACACAAATGTAGCTGATGTCAGCTAGAGTCACAATTTGAGTGTTACAACAGGACTCTGGGCCTGTCCACTCTGTGACTTGATAGCAGCTATTTGCTACCTAGTTATCTCATTTAAAGTCATAGTGTCAGAGAGTTGTACAGCACAGAAACTGACCCCTTGGTTCAATTCGTCCATGCCGACCAGACATTCCAATCTGACCTAGTCCCATTTGTCAGCATTCGGCCCATGTCCTTCTATACCCTTCCTATTCATGTACCCATCCAGTTGCCTTTTAAATGCTGTAATTGTACCAACCTCCTCCATTTCCTCTGGCAGCTCATTCCATATACGCACCACCTTCTGCATGAAAAAGTTGCCCCTTAGGTCCCTTTTAAATCTTTTCCCCCTCTCAGCTTAAACCTATGCCCCTGTAGTTTTGAACTCCCCTACCTTGGGAAAAGACCTTGGTTATTCACCCTATCCATGCCCCTCATGATATTATAAACTTCTACAAGGTCACCCCTTGGCCTCTGCTCCAGAGAAAATAGCCCTGTAAGTGTAGAGGACACAGATATCAATAAGGACAAAATGGTTTGATATGATGCCTACTCCAATCACCAAAAGATACTTGAAAGTCTAAGGATATACTTGAAGAGAAAGGGCATTCAATGATATTTGAGGATTGGGGAACTATCCAGTTAGGAGTCAACATATTCTGTTGAGGAATGCAAATAGAGGGGGAAAATTTATTATGTTAAGACTTTTTTGAATTGTTTTGTTCCAACAGCGTGGCAGTGACCAGATCCAAGGATGTCCCACTCTTTGGGCCACCCATTCCAGATGGCTTCTTTTTCGGCAAATCTGATGTTTTCCGAGACTTTCTGCTGGCCAAGGTCATCAACGGAGAAAATGCGGCACACAAATCGGAGAAGTTTCACGCTATGGCAACTCGGACTCGACATGAATACTTGAAGGACCTGGCGGAAAATAGTGTCACAAACACCCCTGTGGAATCTGCTGGAAAATTTAACCTCATTTTATTGACCACCAAAAAGAAGGAGAAAACAAAGCCCCGGGTGGGGGCTGAGCTGTACAGTGCTGGGGCTATTACATGGCGGGTTTACGCGCAGGATTACAGCCAAGGAATTGAGGTGGAGTGCATTCTTGGGATCTCAAATGAATTTGTTGTGGTTATCGAGCAAGGAACCAAGGAGATGGTGTTCAACTGCTTTAGTGGGGATGTCATAGGCTGGACCCCTGATTCATCGACGATCAAAATTTTCCACGGGAGAGGTGACTACATTCTTGTAAGAGTGTTAGAGGAGAATGTGAATGACATTAAGGAAATTGTTCAAAGGTTGAAGGTAAGTGAATAACAACCTGTTAAATGTGTTTGTAAAAGTACATAATGAAATATGCCATGGTGCTTCTTGGGAACATTATAAGACAATTTGACGTCGAGCTGCATAAGATAGTGGAGAAGATGACTAAAACCTTTGGTTGCAAGATGGAAGTCTCCAAGTGTTTATTTAAGAGAAAAGCAAGGTGAAGTGAACAGTTATGGGGAAGGGAGCTCCAGAGCTTAGGGTCCAGGCAACTGAAAGTACAGTCACCAAAGGTGAGGACCTGACATCAGGGATCTTTACGAGGCCAGAATTAGGAGCACAGATATCTTTGACAGTGAGGTTAGTATAAAGTAGAGATCGAGAAAGGCAAGGCTGAGGGTTTTAAAAATCAGGATGAGAATTGTAAAATCGAGATGTTGCATAATTGGGAGCCAAAGTAGGTCCGTGCACTGGGTGAACTGAACTTGGTGCAATTGGGAGCGTGAGAAGCAGAGTTGACATGACCTCCAGTTTTTGGAGGATAGAATATAACATCCAGCTGTGTTAAAATGCTCAAGTCTGGAGGTAACAAAGACGTGGTTGCAATAGCAAGCTGATGCAGGGGTGGTGTCTGACAGTCCTTGGAGGTGGATGTTACAATGTTTTGAAAGCTTTATCTTGGTATCAATATGACGAGCCTCACCTGAGGTTTGGCTAGTGGCTTGGGTCTTTGATCAAACTTGGAGATTTCCCAATCTCTCTAGCTCTACTATTTGGGCTTAAAGCTGTATTTGGTCCCTTGTTTGTTTTCATGTGTGCTTGGGCCATGAGGGAAAAGGAGTTCTGAATTTGTTTCCTTAAAGTGTAGTGAAGAATTTAATGGAAAAAAGTGCTTCTTTAGATAGGTTTGCAATACCCTGCCAGTGAAGAACGAACATCAATATGTTGCTCTTCAAAAATTGTTACCTGGTACAGGTTGGCAGGCTGTTTTGAGTCTCCTCATTCTAGAGTTTCTCTTGTATTGTATGACCTGGTTAACTTTACTGGAAAATCTCAATTTTAGCTGAGCTTTTGAAATGACCATGATTTGCATCTGATCTTGACGAATACGCATTAAGCTGAATGCAGAGTATATTTTTTCTGTGGAAGCCTTTCTTTGTCCTTCAAAGATTTGCTAATTGTCATCACACACGTTACCTTTTTAAAAGAAAAACTTTTGAAGTTTAAGAATAGACATCTTTTTACCTGCATTCAGTGAGAAGTAAGTAAAAGTGTGTACTCTCCCTCAAAGCCGGCAGACTCAGGACCAAGCCATTCAGATTTTAGATTTTGCCAGATTTCAGATCTGACCTTTTAACAGCATATGGTTCAGACAGTTTAGGTCAGGTGGGTTCAAGGATTGCTTGGAATGTGGTGATAGACCAGTATACACGCTGTAAAACCAGTAACCTGTCTGGCACTATGCAGCACATCGTTGAATTGTCCAGGTATATCTTAAAATAAAATGATGCACGGTATACTCTTAAAATGTCCAGTTTTTGCACCGTGCTGGTTTTAGCTGGCCGTTTTCATATATTTGTATTGCACAAATGGCAGTCGACCAAATGCTGTTGATATGTCTAGTTTTGCTGAAATACCATTAAATATGGTAATTGGACTTAACCGTAATTAAGTCAATCTTAACATTGCCAGAACATTGACATTTTCTGTAAAACCATGGATCTTGAATAGTGCCAAATGGTGGTGGCCTTTTGTGGCACCAGTTTTGTCTGGTTGCTGTTTCGTTTTGCTGGTCTTTGTTACTCCCGATGTTCTTGAAGGTATACCTGGCTCATCGCAACTTTTAATCAACCAAATTGCTTGATACTTTGGCTGAGATGTTAATTGTGTTCTGACTTATTTGCCTTTGATTCCCAGATTGTAACAGAAGGATGTGAAACCATTGACATGACTCTGCGGAGGAACGGGCTCGGGCAACTTGGGTTTCATGTCAAATATGATGGCACAGTGGCAGAAGTGGAAGAATATGGATTTGCTTGGCAAGCTGGACTGAGACAGGGAAGCCGACTGGTTGAAATTTGCAAAGTGGCTATAATAACGCTGACTCATGATCAGATGATTGATCTTTTGAAGACATCAGTGACTGTGAAGGTGGTCATTATCCTACCCCATGAAGATGGGAGCCCTCGCAGGTAGTACCAATATTAATTATCTGGAAATCTAGAATTTCTTACAAATTCCCATTAAAACGATGCCTTTGCTAGTTCATTTTGTAGGTGCTTTGGAATGGTTTTGTCTTAAGAATAAATAGATTTTTCTTAGTTCATGAGTCAAGATCACTAATATGTAAGCTAACAGATGCTGCAATTAACCCAAGATTTTGTAATGTGTTCATGTTATGGATATTAATTTGGCTTTCTGTCAGCTCTCTTCGTTCCGTAGCTTTCCCAATAAAGTGGTTTGCATTACTGTATTGAGACAACAAGGTGCAGAGCTGGATGAACACAGCAGGCTAAGCAGTATCATAGGAGCAGAAAGGCTGACGTTTCGGGCCTAGACCCTTCTTCAGAAACAAAAATTAAAAAAAATCCCTGTGGATTCTCAGCTCCATGCTATCTGCCATGTATCGGCAACTTCTCTCCCTGCATTGGGCCTTGCCCCAGCTCAGGGCCTTCCCCTACCAGACGCGCAGTGGACCTCTGCTGTCCTTTATTCTCAGAAGGATCCACATTCTCAACAAATGCTCTTTTTTCCACTCTATCACATATCAAAGACCATAAGTAGACCAAACTCTCTCATACTTATCTCCAGACATGGACCATTTCAACCATTCAGCATCTTGGCCTCGTCTCCGACCTTATCTGAGATCAGCCCAGGGCCATTGACCACACAGGTGCTCCAACCACTCCTATGGGTTTCATGACTGCCGTTTCCGCTGACATCGATGACCACATGACTGCCATTTCCACTGATGTAGAAGACCACGTGACTGACGACATCATTGATGACTGGGTTACTTCAGCTTCCGGCCACATGATTGGTCCAGCGCACATACCCACTCCTGATGAAGTCTTCATTCCCGCTCCTGGGTCCAGCTCTACACCCGGCTCCAGCTCTACACCCCAGCCCCAAGACCTGCTGAGTATTCACCATCCCCCCCCACCCCCAGACCCCCCCCTCACAGAGGCTGAACGGTCAGCCTTCAACAAAGGGCTCACATTCATTCCCCTGCACCTACACGCAAGCAAATTCTGCACGCATCATGATGTCGAGCTCTTTTTCCACCATCACCATCTCCAAGCCCTATTTCTTTGAACAGGAATCCAACGCACCCTCTAACAACCCCTTCGCCTGCCTCAAGCGAACTCCATCTTCCTGGACACCCCATCCCGGCTTCCCACCCTCCCTCGACTTCTTTATCTCAAACTGCCACAGCGACAAATCTCCACTGCATTGCTCTATTGTCTGTTTACTGTTGGGTCCTGTGTGAATTGTGGTCACTTGACCAAAGTAACAGCCACAGAATGACAGCCCTGTATAAGACAACAGATTCAGGAGAGGAATTGGAGATAAATTTCTAGGTGAAATATATAGACCAAAAATAATGGCATTGAAAAATTTCTTCCTAAATTTCACTTGGCTAATAATGCATATATGGTAACGATGATCTCTATTATTGTGAAAAGTTCTAGAGTTTTTGGGAACTAGACTGCTTTCCTATATAATCAAATCTTGATGAATAAACTGTTGTTACAAATTTATTAGCAGTCAGTTTGCTTGATGTTTTGTGATAGTCCATTACAAAACAAACATTTTCTAGAAATAACTGAAGTCCAGTTTGAGCCCATTCTCTTCCAACTCTCATTTTAAGACCCATCTGTAAGGTTTTCCAGTGCTGGGGTGTGTTTTAGTTAATGCCAAGCATTTTAGCAAAAGATTAAGTAAGGAACACTATGCACTTTTCCATAGCTTTAATGTAATCTCTGAAAATTGTTTAACGTGCCGAAACTACCTCTCTTTAACAGCTGGTGCAAAGCTTTTAATTTTTGTTTTACAAAGGTCTTAATATATGTCACTACCAGAATTACTACATCTTTAGCTTTTATCTGTGCTGCTTACCCAGCCTGTTGAATGGTGAGAATTTAAGTTCTGAATCCTGGCTGCTTACTGACACAATGCCAGGCTATTGCAGTGGATAGGCATTTCACTGACATCCTGTTTTTAAAATGGAAGGGCATTTAAAAGTGAGACGTGGGTTAGTTGTGAAATTTCCACAGGTAAAACTTGCAGTGGTAATCTGGCGCACCCAAGTTGAACAAGAATAGACTCTGGCCTTTGTTTTGACCACACTTCATTGTAAACTGCGATTTAGTCTGAATCTTTTCATCAGGAAATGGAAAAATGCTTCAACTTTTTAATTTAAAAGTACATGTGGAAAGTTATCAATTTTTTTTAACCAGTTAGGGGGAAAATGGCCTTTGAATATAACTCTGCACTATAGTGCAGGAACATTTTAGTTTATTTTTATATTTCAGCCCCCACCCCCAACAATGTCCCAGTGAACTGAGCCCAAGAATGCTGTTGTCTCCTGTACCTACTACATTATTTCCAGCTTGTGATCAGTTAATTTGGCACAGTTCAGGGTTTTAAAACCAGTGCTTTCTACTTTGGATTACTCAGTGCTGAAAAATGCAGACCTCTGCTGTTTGTTTACAACAGCAAGTGGTTCTTAATGAATGCTATCCTTTCTTCCTTTTGATGTGATGCAGACTTCTACTTTTCTCAGCTATTTCTCAGGTTTTTAAAAGACCCTTCTTTGCCTTATCAGCCTGATATTTATCCAATGGATTTCACCTTAGGCGGTACTTGACTCATCATTGTTGCTTATGCTTCTTCTCAGCTTGTGTCTGACCTCAGTGAACCTGTCTTACTGTTCTGTTTGTGGGTAGCATGTGGCCATTACATTATGTGACTCAGACTGCAATAATAATCCTGGAAGTGTGCTCACTCCTTGATTAACTCAACCCTGCATCTCTTGAAACCACATGGTTTCAAACAAATCTGTATTTTTCTTTCTCTCTTTCTGCAGAACTGGAGTCACAGCTACATAATTTTGACTTTCCTGTAAATTTTTGTGCACTCAAGCGGGCATCATCACCAATCATGACCACAATGAATGGACGTTAGAAAAGGAAGGATCAAATAAGTTAGGCCTTTACAGGAGTAACAGACACTTTCATCACTGTCAAAAGCAGAGTGTACTTTGTAATCTCTGTAAGCTCAAAAGTGAGTCAAGGATTGAATGTAATGATACAAGTAACCTGAGCTCACTGGCATTTTCACACTGGACTACGTGCTCGGTCTTGTATAAACTCGTACAGCTGGTGCATAGCCAAAGCTTCCAAAAGAAAACTAGGTTAGGAAATAATAATGACAGTTCCCAGAATGAGGTATTACATACTGCACAAGGCTCACTCAGCCACAGCTCCAGTCTTGTCTACAATTTATTTGATAGTGTGTGGCCAGTGTGGAAGATTTGGCATCCTCCTTAAACCATTTTTAAGTCCATCCCATGTGATCCTTGGGCTGCGTGCCTTCCTTCTGCCTTCAGAGACTAATCAAGTAAGTGAACTGAGTGATTCAAGTGATTATGAATGAAGGAAAGGAACAAGAATAGGTTATTGGCTGACGGGATGCATCCAAGGTGTAGCTAAATGTCCTTCAGCAAAGGAAGCAAAGTCTGATGTACATGTGAGAGAACTGAATGAGTGCATGAATTTTGATGAAGGGTGTGATGTTGCTTTAAACAGGATAATGCTGAAGTATATTTAACCAATTTTTAAGGTAATTGTAAAAGATTGCATTGTGACTATATCGAATGTACATTTGATTTAAACTTTATGGGTTATTGCTGCAGTTTCATTGAAGTACCACGTGCCTTGTCCTTGGGCTGACTGTTGAAAACAGAAATCGTAGACTAGTGTGTTTTCTTTAATTTCTTGTTAGTCAAATGTGTAACTGACAAAAGCTTGTTTAAAGGCCCAAGTTGTGGAGTATTCGCAGCTTAATTTAACTTGTATTCAGAAATGTCCATTTGAATCATGAATTTTTTTCCTTTTTCCCTTTTCCATTGTGACCAGTTCTTACTTTGGCCTTTTATTTAAACATGTAGCAGATAGCTTTTCAGGTTTTTACTGTATCCTGTAGTTAAGCTGGTTTTGTCTTGCCTGGACCATGCGGAAATCGAACACAACGTGGAATAAGTACAGTTCACTTTTTGATTGGAGATGTAACATGCATTGTAGATAGAGGGGAGCCTGTAGACCGTACAATGTTTGGATTCTAGAAAGCATTTCATAATGTGCCATGGGTGTTGTGTAAAATATAAGCTAATTGTATAAGAAATGACATATTAGCATGGATAGGAGATTGCCTGCCCAGCTGAAACTAGTATTCAAAAGTGAGTGATGGGATGAGTGCAGTCCTGTAAGGGTCTTTGCTGGGGGCCTCAACTTTGTGCAATTTACATTAATGCCTTAGATGAGGGCAGTGAAGACATTTGAACTAAATTTGCATATTAACACCAAGACTAGTTATTTCAGGCAATGAAGTCAAGGGTTATTGGGGTGTAGCTGGGGATGGTAGAATTCAAAACATATCAACCATGATTTTGCTGAACAGCAGAGCAGGCATGACGGACTGAGCGGTCTACTTTGGATCCTATTCGACCTGATGTCCTATTAGACATTAGCTCTCACTCTTCTAAACACCTATGGATACAGGCTCAGCAGGTCCAAACTTTCACAGATTATCTTCTGCAAACCCAAGTATTAGTCGAGCAAACCTTCTCAGAGCTACTAGCACATTTATGTCCTTTCTCAATGGACACCAGAACTATGCACGTTGTTGTTTGGCCTACAGCAGTACTCTAGTGAAACTCAACGTAAGCAGGAGATGTAGCACCTCATCTGCATTGGTACCTTGCAGCACCCAGGACTCAACAACATTTGAATTTGACAGCTTGAGTATGAAAATCTTCCCCCATATTCGTTAACCACTCCTCGACCCAGGGTTGCTTCCAGCACACACAGCCAGCTCCTTTTCCAATTGTTCACACTTCCGGCTCGCATACCTGTTCACCCAATCCCATTGTGAGTCTCACTTTTTTCTTCTCCTTGTCCACCTTTTGTTT